ATATATATTTGTGCGCGTATGTCTGTGTGTACGGTATTATCGATGGTGCAATCAAACTTTCATCAACTCCGCCTTGGTGTATTGATATTTGGAGCTTAATTTGATCCCGCCCTTATAGTAATAATTTCTCGATATAACAACTGGTTATAATCAGTAATATTTGGATTCTTAGATCTCTAAAATAGACTGACTACTCAGACTGATTACTTACCATTACTAACTAATTAATATATAATATTTCTGCAAGCAAAAAAAAAATTTTATTGCAAATATTTGAATAAAATTTAACAATTTCCAATCCCTAGACAAACCGCTCGATGGCTTTCTTTATTCATAATTTATTGCGACCATCTGAAATTATCGAGCAGTCATCCTCAGTCAGGTTTGTTTTTACGTTCTTTTATTTATTTATTTATTTTATTTTTTTTTTTTTGAATTTTTTTGAGCGAAATAAAGTGGCTTCGTATGAATAAATTAGAAATTCCTAAAAAACTTGAAGTCTTGATTAGGCTCCATCTTATGAATAGCTATAACATTCATTTGTTACATGTTTCATTTAAGAAACAAAAATTACCGCACTGCTATTCTTTAATAGAATCATTAGAACTATAACTGAACTTTTTAATTCTACTAAATTGAAGGTTGAGACTTGCAAAAGGAAAAAATAAAGTAAAGTAAGAAACAAATACTCTCAAGAGCACTATTGATTAATTAAAGTATAAGCTGTTTTATACTATAATTTCCCGACTTTCTTAAATAATAACATGCATTTACAAAGGAATCGGTGAATAACACCATTCCATATTTCATCAAGCTACTGAAAATTTCTTCATCTTATCGACACCAAAAAGATAAATTATGATTGTAATTTTCGTTTTTAATATCACATATTACCTAAAACTCTTGATGATCGAACTGTTTCTATACCAATATTTTTGATTTGGAGTAAGCTCGAAAAAAGTTTTTATTTCCAATTATAAATTTTCAGCAATTTAAACCCAAGCTGTAAAAACGTGAAAATTTGATAAATTGACTTTTTTCTTATTTGAAAATGGACGGCTAATCTTTTGAGCATTTCTTCATCTCTAACTTTGTTATCTGAGCTTTTCAGTCTTAGAAAATTAAATTGCTTCTTATAAAACACTGTTTCCAGGAACATCCTGAGTGAAACAGCATTTTGTGATGAGACACTTGTGTCGTGCAAAAGCATACAGGTTGCAACATGTCCAACTAATTTCATGAGCTCCTTCAGTTTTCCGGAGTGGTGGTACCAAGCAGTTAACTATGTCAACATGACTTCTCAACATCTTGGATACCATATAAGTCATACGAACAGCGAACATAATCCAGTTATCATTGGTGCGTCTTAAAAAAATTTCTCTCTATTCTCATCAAATTTTTTAAAGCAGTAAAACTTGAGTTATAGATTTGAAAGTGAACAGAGAATTTTTAAAAGGACTTTTGCCCTGGAAATTTTTCGAAAGTTATCATAACAAAAAAACTGATTGACTATTACTGGTAATTTATCATATCATTATGGTATACTGTCTTTGCAAACATAATAAGTGCTTTTAAAGGCTTCTTTATACATTTTGCATGTTTTTGCATTCACTATTCTGGACTCTGGCAAACATTCCCCTCCTAAATCAGTATCGATATATTACTACATCAGTATTTCAAGTTAACGTAAGATTATTAATGACTGCATTTTACTTCGGTAAATATAACCTTATTTAAAAATCAGTTCGAAAATCTGATCATACATAAGTTAGTCCAACATGTGTAAATGGCAAGTTATTTCAAGTTAAAGTAAGGCTGCGCTATTATTTGGATGTAGAAATAAAGATGATTTGTTGTCTTTGAGCGGAACGTTTAATCGAGTAGATTAATTTTTGCGGTAAATTCTCGTGAGAAAATTCGGAAGAACGATAGTCATTTATTCGATTACACTAGTTTCATTCCGTAGAACTACTAATACTTCGAAATTCTACTCTCTCCACTTTCCTTTCTCCAAATCTCATTTTCGCCCCTTATTCTTATTAGTAGTGGCTTTGCAATGTTTGTTTAATATAGATGCGGGAAGCTTTTAATACAGATGACATTCTGACTTGTTCTATCCTGATTCTAATTTGCTCTGTCCTTATCCTTTTTCCACACTTAAAGAATTAGACGGGAAAAATTACACAGAATGAAAGGAAACTGAGAATAGAGGGAGCGAAGAATTTGAAGAGGACAACAAAACTTCATTAGTAAACAGATTTAATTAGTTAGCTAGTAAAAGGTTATTTATAAACGATATTATATGATTCGTACAAACACTTCGTAACACCGTATTCAAATATTTATGCAAACTAATATAATGAAATCTTCTGCAACTCGAAGAACAACAGGATGAGAACATAATAGACATTGACAGAGGTCAAGAAAATCAGCATTTCATTTGTTTGTTTCCAAACTTCTTGTTGAAGTAGTTATCAACTGATTTTTAGAATTCACTATTTTCAGATTGGGATCCACAACTGCCGTGGTTGCAGCCTTCCATGCAGAAATCACAACATAAGCGAAAAGGTGGTCAAATCCGGTTTACGAATGAACAAACAGATGCACTCGAACAAAAATTTGGCAATCATAAGTACTTGTCATCACAAGAGCGAAAGAAATTAGCAAGAAGTTTGCAGCTTTCTGAAAGACAGGTCCTTTTTTCATAAGATTTTTTAAGATCTTTCAATATTCCCAAAGCCTAGCAATAAATCTGTAATCATAGTGAATAGGAAGGACAGTATGTATATCGATACCGTTAGATGTCAACGAGAACAAAAGATCAATATAGGATCAAGCGGTAGAAAATAATGATCTTCTATTATTTTTTCCACATTGTCAGTTTAACTTTTGGCTTACATTAAATTTTTTGCGTTTTTTTTTTTTTTTTTTTTTTTTTTACACATAAAAACGTTTTGATTTATAAGAATAAAAAAGCAGAATTTAAGCTTTGACTCACAGCTGTTGAAATGATTTCAGGTTAAAACATGGTTTCAGAATCGACGGGCTAAATGGCGCAGAATCCGTAAGGACGAAGAAGAAATTCATCTTGATAACATAATTCACCCAATACCACAGCTTATCCATTATGGTCATCAACAGCACTACTCGTTCTTCAAAACTCACATGTGATGTTCAAGATTCCTTTAGGTTACTGTATCCCTAGCTTTCATTCTTAAAATGAGACACTTTCACCACATTACTGCAAAAGTCAAATACTGTAATTTCGTTTTAGCAGGTACTACACTACCGACCAATACCTCACAGTAATTTTCAGCAATCAGATTAATGTTAGCCTTAATGTTGGTTTAGCAAATACAAATATTACTACCGTGAAGCTTGCAAATATTTTTGTAATTGCTAAGAATTTTTGTGAACACTAGTTAAGTACATCTACCCTTGTTTTTTAGCTTTAGGTCTTGGATTGACTGTATTATTCTCACATGTCACGAAAAATGTCGGTGTTCGCACTGTTACACCTATTTTTATGATGTTGAGCGCCCATTTCATTTCACTGTAGTGATCAGTACATCACGTATGCTTTGTAGGTAATGGCAATTTTCATATATTCATATTTATCCCGAGTTACAACTATATAAATGTTTGAAGCAAAAATAAGTTGGTTAATTACTTCTTAGGAAAGGAAAATCACTTTCAAAAAGTCAACTAGAATCAGTTCAGGGAAAGCCTAAAGTGAGTCCGGTTGGCTACTATAATTTGGAAGTAACTTTTATAGGGAGTTTCGAATACAAAGTGATAATATGTTAGCTTGACTTTGACCTTATTGTTTAAAGCACGTTCAAGTGATTCAAGTGATCAAAACAAAACTGAAATGACTAATTGTTGTTAATGCAAGCAGAGGTTATTCCCGTAGATTCAGGTGTTTATTTCTACCTGCTTAAGTGCTTTTAATGCAAGTTATCTCCAATAAAATTAAAAAACAGTGTTTTTTTTAAATTTTTGAGTTAAGTTTTCGCTTTTTTTTTTTTTTGTATGGACTTTCAGATATTATTTTTTAAACGGATCATATTGCATCCAAACATTTATATAGGTTTTTTGGCTTAACACTTAACTCAGTCTTCAAGGGGTTTTCTTTGAAGCCTTTTTTAATTTTTCACCTTCTCACAGTTCTCAATAATTCGATATGATTACTCGGATAAATATCTAAAAATAAAAATGCTTAAACTACCAAACTTCGAAAAAAAATTTTGAAACAACTAAAATTCAGCTTTACAGTACATTTTTTGCTCTCATGAAAAATAAATCATAGAAACTAATCACACGCAAATAAAAGTTCAGACAAATGCTAACAAATCATTAGTATCACCTATGGATTATGTAAATATTTTCGGCTAGAAGAATCCTATTGGAGTCATTCATAATCCACATTGATTACTTCGGCTTATTTTAATTATTTGTTTTATTAACAACTATTTTTGCATTTTTTTTCATTCGTTTAATTCTAATTGAAAATTTTTCCTTTTAGTTGATTATACTGAAACATCACAACACACTTAAAATATGCTCACTTGACTTTATTTTCATAACAATATCCATTTTCTTCTTGCTTAATGACTATTTGAAATTGTTCGATTGTTGAAATTATGATATGAATTTATGATAAAGAAAAATATGTCAACTGCAAATTGAAATAGTGCCTGACGACAACAACATTAATTGAAATATAAAAAAATATTGAACTGCCTGATATATGTATGTGAGTGTATATGTGCACATAGTGCAAGTGTAGGTTATGCAGAATGCGTGAAAGGAATGACTGTCTTCGGAAGGAGTGACAGAGCTGAGCGGCTGCTCTATAGGTGTTATCCTAATGTCCCTGTCGTCTAAGTCTTATCCGTCAAGTCAACTTACGAGATTTTCCTCTGTTCAAAATTTTGCATATCGTTTTAGTGTGAGAATGAAGGATTGAAAAGACTCGGAAAGAACGATTACAAAGCAATATGCTGACGCCTATCATCACGAAGGATATGAATCCATTTACATCCCAGCCTCGAAAAGCTTGCGATGTCCGGACACACTCTCAGAATCCGGGTATTTCGAAGATAATCACATCTACAAATCGGAATCAGGATACCATTATAGAGAAGTCATCCCAGCCACTAGTTAAGCTTAGATCTACTTCTGTTCACGGTGGTTCTCTGAGTAAGACTCGTGTTTTGCCTTCTATTGTGGAAGATGTTGAGATGTGGCTGAATTTAGATATATCTCATAAACATGAGGGAAGTGACAATGCTCGTTTTAAATTCGTTGGCTAATACCTCTGATTCTACATTAGTAATAGTTACAACAAGGACGATTGTTGCTACTACTATTACGTCGTGTTCATCATTTTCGGATTCATCGTTATCGTCCATAACCGGTGAAGCAATGGAGCAAGGTCAACGGTGAAAAGATTCAGTGAATAAGGAACAAAAACAGCAAGATTTGAAATCGAAATGTATCGGAGTTTCTTAATAATCTCCTAGTAAAATCAAGAGATGAAAATTCTGTATTGAATGAAGGAATGATCTGATTTTAATAATTTAGAAAATTGGCATTTATATTGCATCAACTCGTAAATATTGTATTTGAGTAGTTTACAATTTATTCATTGCCTTTCTAATTTTATACTTCTAGGCATTAATAATTAATCGCTCTGAACTTCATTCACCCATTTTGTCAAATTTTACGACACATTCTTTGAAATCCTAGTTAGAACTTGGATATATTCGTTTTTAAAAAATTTACTATGTGATAAATTTGCTATATTTGCTATATTCTCGTAAGATAAGCAAGCGAAATGGTCAGCACTTCTTACTGAGATAATTAGCTAAACATTTCCCTTCTTAACTTTAAAATCATTTTTCCACTTTTCCTTTATTTACTACTTGTTTCACACTTGAAAAGCTACAAACTTCAGACCCTTCTCCGTTACTCCTGCTTGTTTTGTTGCACTTTTCATGAGTAAATCAATTATTTCTCTCTTTTTCTGAATCGAAATGTTTAATTTGCTCTAAAATAAAAGCATTTGTTCTGAAGTGTTTGTATGATTTGCCAAATTTGCCTAAACCGCTGATCATTTTATAGAAATTTCCTCTAGATAATTGTGTGATTTAAGGACTACAAAGAATATTTCGAAAATACTTGTACTGCTGAAGTTGCTTTACTTAATATTTTCGCAATTTTGATGATTGATTCACTGTGTCTGCTCCATCGATCGTTTCTTTTTTTCGAAACTTGGGGAAACTTCATTTCACCTTCATTATGTGTTGATCATCCTTTGCCGACACCTGTATCACGAAAGCTTTGTAAAGGCTGCACAAACTGCTAGTTTGTTTTGAATTACTGAAATAGAAAACTAAGTGCATAGTCTATGGCTGTTTCAAAGCGTTAAAACTTCAAATTTCAAATGCTCGCTTATCATACCATTTAGCAACTCGAAAGATATTTGTGATTAAAATATTTGCTTATTGCTTCGAGTAAACATATTTTTTTAGCAATGAAACTATTGCTGTGCGATATATCGGGATTGTGACTGATTACACAGCATTATTTGTCAACGAGTAGGAAAAGACAACACATGTGTAATTTTTCCTTGATAAGTTTTCGCTGGTTGAAGAAAAATATACATTTAAAAAGTGAGAAGTACTAATTTATGCAATATGAAATTTTCCAATTAGATCATCACAGTCTTGGAAAGTGGAAGGGTAATTTTTTAATTTTTCATCTAATATTAACTTGAAGTATTTTGTTAATGAAAAATAGTTGAACTATACTTTGGTAGGAATGAGTTTGATGTCGTGCATGGCAGTTATATTTCAAACTTGCTAGTAAGGTTACGTGAGAAAAATACTGACATTTTAAAATAATTTGATAAGTATTTGGAATAAATAAAAGTGTGGTTTAGCTTACTGAATTTATATGGCATGAAAATAACATTATCACTTGACTTACGGCCTAATGTATTTGACTTCACCATAGAATCGTTCAAATCGGTCGGTAGTAATATCCGAAAGGTGAATTCATCTTAGCGATAACTTTCAGTTGAGTTTGTCTTCGTTATTTTGTTATTGATTTTTAAATGCAATTGCAAGAAGAAAGGAATCAGCTGAAGTGGCCCGAACAAATTTATACAAAATATCGTTCAAGTCGGCCAGTAGGAATATCCGAAAGATTTTTTTTCTTCGTCGATATTGATAATTGATGTTCGTACTTCTGTTGTAATATTTGGCATATTTCGTTTCTGTTGTTGAACTGCAAAAACAGGTTTAATTATGTAAACAAGCTTCAATAAGCAGCTCACCTGCTTTTTCTTTTCAAAAACAAAGAATTCTTTCTCCCATTTTTGCTATTTTGTTCATTTGTTTTTAAATATTTTACTATTTTTATTGTTGCTCTATCTATCTACCTATCGTTTAATAATAATTTTACTGTTTTTTTTTTCATCATAAATTAATTTCCTCTATCAGTTGGTGAATGAATATTATTTCAAACTAAAGGTAAAACCATACCGAAAATGCTGATTTTCACTTTAAATTCATTGATTGTCAGAAATTTATATTAGTGCATTTTGTTGTAAAATTCTTTTCACAGATTTAATCATTCCTTAAGTCATTCGTCTCATGTTCCTCCCTCTTTTACTTCTCTCTCTATAACACCATTAAAGATAGGTCCAGTATGGTCTGAGTTCAAGATTCAAGTACCGAAACCACAAATTTTGAGTCTAGAGTGTTCAATGACCTATGATTCCACAGTTCCACCCATTTTTTATTCCTTTTCTTTCCAGCTTCTCTTCTAAGATTCTTTTCACAAATACCGCTGCTTAGCGATTTTCTTTTTTTTTTTTTTTTTTTTTGCTTTTATTTTGTAAAAAATAAATTATTGTTTGAAAGTGACTGGAGTGATGTTTAGGCTGTTGAAATCGAAATTAATTATACAACATGAATTAAATTGAATTACATAATATATTCAAGCGCAGTGAAATTTTAAGCATAACAAATTTTGTTGAATAGAAATTTTCAAGCAATCATTTTACCAAAATTTATTTTTTCAGGATCAAAATTTCTGAAATGTTTCTCATAGTTTGCTTACTTACTATTCGATAAAAGCTGGCTTCAGTACCAAGAAGTGAAATCCAGATAATGGTCTGATCGCTTAATAATAATGAATTTAAAACTGTCTGAAGTGATAATAAAATTCAGCGTGGATGAAGAATTTAAAAAGAACGAAATTAATTGGTTGAGACATAAATAAACACTTATTACTGATTTTTGAAATCTTCCGAAGCTTACAGAAAAATAATTTTAAAAAGCCACACACATAAGCACTGACAACGTGAATAAGGCAACAAATATTCGAAGGAATATCCAGGTTTGAAAATTTCTAAAAGTACAACAGCTGTTTTCGTCTGTATAAATTATGATTATTCATAAAGGGAATTCTAACCATAAATAATCGAAAATTATTTTTTTAATTCTTTAAACAAATTATATGGAAATTCATTGACAGGATAACAGTATCTACAATCGCTTTAAGTAATGAAGCAAATAAATATTAAGCAACCGTACTTCATACAATTCCATTATTTGAGTAAGTAACAACATATTATAATGCGTTTGCTATTCGAAATTAGCTATCAAAATCCGATAAGTCTTCGTAGTCTGGGTCGCGGTATTCCGTGAAACGATTTGGTATTGGCTTATTCCTGAAAACAGGAAAAAATTTTCCCGCTGGAAAAAAACAAAAAAAAAAAAACTATGTATTTCAATGGAAAAAACCATTATTGATATATCATAAAAATTAATGTGCAAAGAACTTCAAATATGATTTATGTGTCTTGAATTTTCTTCCGGATAGATAAAGGAAGTTCTGCTTCTGATTACCTTCCCTACAATCCATCGCTTTCACATAATACGTGGACGATATTTGTCGTCAAGAGGAAGAAAGAAGAAAAAGAAAAAAATGAATAATTGTAGCTAATATATTCTTCAAGAAGAATGATACCACGTAGCTAACGATCCGCTCCAAACTTAGAGCAGAATACGGCATAGAAAGTTGAATCAGAAAAGTTATATTTTTAAAAAAATCTATGGAAACATGAGGACTGAACATGAATTATGGAGTGATTTCAATGCATTCAGGTGCTACAGTCAGCAGATTACAAAAAAGATTCCTTTTTGCAAATTTCATTAATTTTAACAAAATATGGTTGGTTAAAGTTAACCTTGCAAGACTATCAAATGAAATGGGATTGCTTTCACGGACTTCTCGACCAATTGACTGAAACCGATGTTCCCAGAATGACGGAGTTCGTAATGCAGCACTCAGGTAGGATGTACTAGCAGTACGCCAATCTGTATCATCCTTAAGCAACATTTCCATGTATTTCACTAAATCTATTGGTTCCCTCTTTGTTATTTTGGCCTTGATTTTGGTCTGGATTCCAGCATTTTTTTAGAGAATTCACAAAGAGAGTTATCAGATTTAATAATTGCAATTGAATTCCTAAAAAGCTGGTAGAATATACACCAGACTTAGGATTGTTTCTTCAATAATTGTCAAAATTAAATGTAAATATTGGGGAGATTAAGAATTTCGAGAGAAGTACCTTCATAAACATATAAGTTGATACTGGCACATCACCTTTCGAACTTGATTCTCGTAACAGTTTCTCCTCCCATATTTGTGGCCTAACGATGAAAAATATGACATGCAAAATTTCGTACTATCATAACAAATACTGTTGAATAAGAGAAGAAAAAAGAAATTACCCTCGTGGAACATATTTACCCTCTGGACGCTTGTACAGATCAACAGAATATTGCAAATCAAAATCAAAATAATCTGGATCACTACGATTTGGACGACTGTAATACGGACGTGGCACGAATGTCTGGAAGTTCAGCAAAATCGAAAAATATTGAAGTTTTATGTATCACTATACAGCAGTAGTGATATTTTGCAGTGGAATGTTAGAGAGAGTTTCTGTGAATTATATCAGAGATGATGACGACGTGCGCTGTTTTGTTATTTTTATGGGATATGCTTTTGTGATGCTATCTGCCTTATGACCATTATCTTTTATTTTGCTTCATAATTTTAAATTACTTAGTACAGGTCTGAGAAATTTTTACCCAGTAAATGCTTTTGTCAGGTTTTAAAATCAGAATGCCGAACAAAGTCAGTTGGAAATTGAAGCCTTTCAAGGAATCATACGGCAATAAATAAGGTCATTCAGCATAACTTTTCGCTACATGTCTTTTAGCTGACAGCACTT